TTGTCTTGTTAAGTAAAGACACAGTTAATATATGGACTATCTATACATTACAATAGAGGGTGAGTCTATGATCTTATATGGGAAAGGAAGATGATCTTGTAGCTCAGGAGACAACACAGGATGTTTTATTAGCAGTTTTTCATAATCAACAGCACATAGATGAGAAACTCTTTGTAGTTGAAAGCTACCTATTGCTTTAGATAAGAGCTCCCAGCTAAGGTAGTTAATCTTTTTCTGGAGCCCTCAGGTTTGTTCATCCTGTCCTCACCACTCAGGCTTTTCCTTTCTTAAAAAAACATGGGTTTTTGTTTTACTTGCTGAGTCTGTCAATTAGTGAGTTCTTTTGTTTTATCTCTGGGTGAATGTGCTGACTTTGCCTAGCATGAGCTAACTTTGGCCTGTAGCTTTAACAAGGAGTATTTACATAAAACTAGCCTTAAACTAACTTAGTCTACATATGCTTCTAATGCTAATTTGGTTTATACTATAGCTAATTTTGGCTTAAAAACAGACAGGTGGGGGAGTCTTAAACTTCCTGGTCCTCATGTCAGTCTTATGGAACCACATTCCTACAAGATCACTAATTGGCTTTATTGCAATGGTTTGGGGTGATGTTTTACCCTTACAGGGTACCGTAATAACAGTAAAACTCACGGCAGAGAAATTGAATACCGGCCAGTTCAAGGACACAAGGGAGGGCTCATAAACTGGGCCCTGCCTCAGTTTCTTCCCAGTCCAGGCCCTGCCTTAGAATGGGAGGCAGCATCCTTACCAGCTTGTGTTGCCTGCATGGCCCTGTCACAGAAGACCATAATATAATACACCGTATTAATGGGAAGAACACTAAAATCCATTTGATCATTTCAACTGATGCAGAGAAAGCACTTGATAAAATGCAACGTCCCATCATGATTAAGACCCTCAGAAAGAGTGACTTAGAAGGGTCATTTCTCAATACAGTAAAATCCATACTTGAAAAATATATAGTTAACATTATACTAAATGGGGAAAAGCTAAAATCTTTTCAACTGAAAACAGGTACTAGACAAGGCTGACTCCTTTCTCAACTGCTTTTTAATATAGTGCTAGAAGTATCAGTTAATGTAATCAGAAAAGAGATCACTATCTAAATTTGCAGATGACATGATGGTATATTTAGAAGACCCAAAGATTTCTATTAAAAAAGCTTCTCTAAGTAATAAATGAATACAGTATAATGGTAGGATACAAAATCAACATTAAATTCTATAGCATTTCTATATATGAACAAGTTGAATGAAGTAGAGCTGAAGAGAGTAATCCCTTTAACTATAGCCACAAAGTGTTTAAGATACCTAGGGATAAACCTAACTAAAGAAGTAAAAGACCTCTACAAAGAAAACTATCAAAATCTTTAAAAATATATTGAAAAGGACATACAAAAGTGGAAGGACACCCCGTGTTCCTGAATTGGAAGAATTAACATAATCAAAATGGAAATTCTACCCAAATTACTCTACATATTTAATGCAATTTCAATCAAAATACCAGCAATATTCTTCACAGATTTAGAAAGGACAATTATAGAATTTGTCTGGAATCATAAAAGATCTCATATTGCCAAAGCAATCCTGTGCAAGAAGAGTGGAATGGGTGGCATATCAGTCCCTGACCCCAAGATACACTAAAAGCTGTGATAATCAAAACAGCATGGTATTGGCACAAAAATAGATAGGTGGACCAATGGAATAGAATAGAGACCCTAGAAATAAACCCCAAAATGTACAGTCAACTCATTTTTGACAAAGTATTGTAAGGGTCCAGAGATCGGTCTAACTGATGGAGACACAGAAAAGACAACGACAATGTAACTGCAAAAGAGGCTTTTATTTTTCCAGCTAGCTGGGGTCCAAGTTTCAGCCCATCGCAGCAGGCCTTCACAAGGACCCCGAGCCTAAGATAAAGGGATCTTTTATAGCTCCGAATCGCAATGCAGGAAGTACAGTCAGTAATTTTCCACTTGAGGGAGGGGTGTGTGAAAGCTAGTTGTCATTATGTTTAGGTTTAGATTAGGACTTTCAGTTGAGGTCAGATTGACCTGGCTCTGGCATCGTCAGGGCCCATCTTACTTTGTTTACTTATGTGGTCTCAGACTCCCTGGGTTCTGTCCTTGAGGGTCTAACATGGCGGTGGTTGTGTCAATTCGGCCTAACAGTATATCAGTCAATCCACTGGACAAAGTAAAATCTCGTTAGTAAACGGGGCTGGAAAAACTGAATATCCACCTGCAGAAAGGTGAAACTGAACCTAATCTTTCACCATTAACAAAAATCAACTCAAAATGGATCAAAGATCTGAACCTAAAACTTCCAACTAATTATGGAAAATACTGGGAAAACTCTGGCAGACATTAAGGTAAACAAAGACTTCTTAAATAATACTCCCAAAACCACAGGTTATAATCCCTAAAATAGACAAGTGGGGCTATATCAGAATAAGAAGTTTCTACACAGCAAAAAACAGTGACAAGTGTGAATCTACAACCCTCAGAATGGAAAAATATTTTTATAAAATATGCCTCAGACAAGGGATTGACAACCAGAATATGCAAGAAACTCAAGTGACTTACTAAAAAAAAAATTAACCCAATTAAAAGATGGGAACATGAGCTAACAAAAATAGGTCTAAGGAAGACATAAAAACATACAAATAGTCAAAAAGCATATAAGGAAATGTTCAACATCCATCATCATAAGGGAGATGCAGATTAAAACCACAATGAGATACCACCTAACCCCAGTCTGAATGACAAAGATTAAAAATATAAAGAGTGGTAAGTGTTGGGAACAGCAGTTAGTGTAATGGCTATGTCGCTGGACTCCCATGTAGTCAACTGCGGTACAAGTCCTGGATCTGGTGGCTTAAACTCACACTGGGCACATGTGCATGTGTGCCCAAGATCCCAAGAGGAAAATGGAGGAGAAGGGATTGCAGCATGGCCATCCCCCTTGGGGGGTGATTTCTCGCTTTCTGTCTCTCTGTCTCTCTCTGTCTTTCTGGCGAGTGCACATGCCCTAGAGCAAAAACCTCTCAAAAAAAAAAAAAGTGGTAAGTGTTGGCAGGGATGTGATGAAAGAAGAACTCTCCTACACTGCTCGTGGGAAGATAATCTGGATCAGGTTCCTCGAAGATCTACAAATAGAACTGCCATTTGATCCAGCAATCCCACTTCTGGGTATCTACCCATAGGACAGGAGAATGCTCAGTCAGAAAGCCCGTGCACATCAAAGTTTATTGCAGCATTATTCACGATAGCTAAGGCATGGAACCAAACAAAATGTCCACAAACAGATGAATGCATGGAAAAGGTGTGACAGATATACTCTACAGAATACTCCTCAGCTATAAAAAAAAATTAATTAATTAAAAAAAAAAACACGACCCTGGAATTTGACAGAAAGTGGTCAGATATGGAAGATCTATTGCTGAGTGAAGCAAACCAGGATATGAAAGAAAGATATTTTATGTATCCACTTATTATACACTGAATATCTGCACTTTATGGTTAAGATCGAAATATTGTAGGGCATAAAAGCAGTGAAAATAGTTAGCAAGGCTGAAGATAGTGTGGAACGGGGCAGGAGAAGGGACAAGTATAGCAAAGGATAGCAAGAGAACAAATAGAGAGACATGACATTAGTAGGGCACAGAAATGATTTATCACCTGTTGATGATATTATGTATAGTATTCTCAACTGAACTGGTCTGAATATTTTATGTTGAGTGAATCTTTTTTACAAGTAAAATAAGAAATAGTGATTGAATGCTTAAAAAGTTATGAGAATAATAATAATAATAACCTGGAAAAATTGTAAAAAGGTAGTTGATGAAGATGATGAGGATAGTAATGTCTTTGTCTTGACTGATATGCATAGTATTCTTTCTGGAAAAAGAAATGATCCCTTTGATCCAGCAATCCCACATCTGGGTATCTACCTAAAGGACAGGAGAATGCTCAGTCAGAAAAGCATTTGCACATCAATGTTTACTGCCACATTATTCACAATCGCTAAGACATGGAAACAACCCAAACATCCATAAACAGATGAAGGGATTAAAAAAGTGTAGCATACATACACCCACAAATACCTGGCATTTTTTTTTAATCCTTCTTTTACTTCTATTGTTCTTTATTTTACAACATAGCAGATTTTACCTGACTTTAGACCTCATATTTCTCGAACTAAACGTGTCCTTATAGGTTAGCTTTGGAAAGTGTTCTGACTTGCTGTATCCACCTACTAAAATCTTCAGTAAATGTTTATATCTATTACATTTTCTTCTCCAATTTTTCTTGGGAGGTGATGAACACATGCAAAAAAATAATGAAAGTGAGTAAGTACATTTAGAATTTTTCCTTTTCCTCTAGTTTGCTAAATTTTAACCCAAGAACTGAAAAAGATAAATTTTGTAATGAACAAGAAATACAAATAGCAACTAATGTATCTTCAGGGGATGGTAGAAGACAAAGGATTACAAAATTGTGATTGTGTCTGTCACCAGAATAGCATAAAAAGTGAAGCAATTTAGTGCAACCTATGGATTCAAACTTTATTTTCATTAAATTTACTAATTACATTTGTAATTTGGGAATTTTAAATATTAACGTTAATGTTTTAAAATATTTTCATTCAGTATAACTAAATTTGAATAAGATATACTTGAAATTATAGTAACACTCAGGCTTTTTTCATTTTTTAAATTAATTTTCTTTTGTACATTCAATCCCATTATTTAGCTTACAAAATGAATATTTCAACAGGTGAATATTTCTCCCTAGTTCAGTTGATAAAACTAAAATAACTTCAACAGATAACACCACATTTCTTTGTCCCATTAATGCTTTGCCTCCCTATTTTTCTCCTAAATGTACTTCCTCAGACCCTACTCTTTCACACACACTATATCTGGTATTTACATCCATATACTGTGTTACCATATCCTTTTGTCAATCAGCTTTAGTTACAGAGTGTGGACACTCAGTATATATTAAGTGGGACATACAATGTCTCTCCTTAATAGCCTGATTTGCTTCACTCAGCAGTAAATCTTCCATATTCGCCCGCTTTCTATCAAAAGCCAGGGTTTTGTTGTTTTTTATGACTGAATACTATTCCATAGAGTATATGTGCCACAGTTTTTCAATCCATTAATCTGTTCGTGAGCATTTGGGTTGGCTCCACGACTTAGCAATTATGAATAGTGCCACAATAAACATAGACGTGGAAGCACTTTTCAATTAAGTATTCTTCTCTCCTTTGGGTAGATACCAAGGAATGGAAATGCTGGAACATATGTTAGTTCTAAGAGTACATTTTTGAGGAATCTCCAAATTGTTCTCTACAGTGGCTGGACCATTTACATTCCCACCAGCAGTGTAAGAGAGATCCCCTTTAACCCCACTGCCACCAGTACTTACTTTATTTATTTTTTTTTTTTTGTTAATCTTAGTCATTCTGACTGGGGTTAGGTGGTATCTCATTGTTGTTCTGATCTGCATTTCCCTCACAATGAGGGATGTTGACCATTTTAAATATGCCTTTTAGCTATTCCTATGTCATCATTAGAGAGGGCTTTTTTTTTTTTTCAACTCATTCTCTCATCTTTTTATAGGACTGATCATCTTTTTTTCTGAACAGCTGCTTGAGTTCCTTCTGAATTCTGGTTATCAGTCCCTTATCTGATGCAGTTTACAACAATATTTTCCCATTCTGAGGGCTATTAATTCACACTAATTACTGTGTCTTTTGCCATGCAGAAACTTCTTAGTCTTATGTAATGCCACTTGTCTATTTTGGGGATTATTGACTGTGCTTTGGGGGTCTTATTTAAAAAGTCATTCCCTATTTCAATGTCTCCCAGAGTTTCCCCAGTGTTTTCCAGGAGCAGTTTTATAGTTCGAGGTCTTAGATTTAGATCTTTGATCCACCTTGACTTGATTTTTGTCAAAGGTGAAAGGTAGAGGTTTAGATTCATCTTTCTGCAAACAGAAATGCAGTTTTTCCAGCACTATTTGTTGAAAAGGTTTTCCTTTTCCCACTGGATTGATTAGTACCCCTTGTCAAAAATCAGCTGACTGTATGAGTGGGAGTTTATTTCTGGGGACTGTGTTCTGGTCCACATGTCTGTTTCTGTGCCAGTACCATGCTATTTTGATAACCACAGATTTGCAGAATATTTTTGGGTAAGGGAGTGATATGCCGTCCACTCCACTCTTCATGTGCAAAACTGCTTTAACAATATGGGGTCATTTACAACTCCAGACAAACTTATGATTGTCTTTCCTAGATTTGTGAAGAATGTGTCTAGTACTTTGATTGGCATCACATTAAATATGTAGATTAATTTGGGTAGAATTGCCATTTTGATTATATTAATTCTTCCAATTCAGGAACATGAGATGTCCTTACATTTTTTGTGTCATTTTCAATTTCTTTTTTTAGCTTCTCATAGTTTTCCTTGTGGAGGCTTTTAACTTCTTTGTTTATAGTTATTTCTAAGTATCTTATATTTTGGGGGCTATCGTAAATGAAATAACTTTTTACAGTTCTCTTTTGTTTTTTGGGGGGAGAGTTTTTGTTGTTGTTGTTTTGCTGTGGGGTGCATGCGCTCACCAGACAGATAGAAACATAAAGACAGAAAGCGAGAAATCACCCCCAAGAGGGGATTGTCACACTGTTAACCCTTCTCCATTCTCCTCTCGGGATTGTGGGCACACGTGCACACGTGCCCAGTGTGAGTTTTAAGCCACCGGGTCTGGGACACAAACCATGGTCAACTACATGGGAGTCCAGCAACATAGCCATTACACTAACTGCTGGTCCCTTACAGTTCTATCTCTGTCTGCCTGTTGTTTGTATAAATGCTATACATTTCTGTATATTCATTTTGTATCCTGCAACTTTACTGAATTCATGTTTACTTCCAGAAATTTTCTGGAAGTAACCATTGGGTTTCCATGTCATCTTCAAATAGAGTTTCACTTGTTATTTTCTTATTTGAATGCCTATTATTTTTTCCTCTTTTCTGATTGTGTTGGAAAGGACATCCAGTACTACACTGAAAAGGAGTGGAGAAAGTGAGCATTCCTTGTCTTGTACCATTTTTAGTGTTAAAGTTTACTTCCAGAAATTTTCTGGAAGTAACCATTGGGTTTCCATGTCATCTTCAAATAGAGTTTCACTTGTTATTTTCTTATTTGAATGCCTATTATTTTTTCCTCTTTTCTGATTGTGTTGGAAAGGACATCCAGTACTACACTGAAAAGGAGTGGAGAAAGTGAGCATTCCTTGTCTTGTACCATTTTTAGTGTTAAAGTTTTCAGCTTTTCTCCATTAAGAATGATGTTCTCTATGGGTTTTTCATAGATAGCTTTTATCGTGTTGAGAAATTATCCTTCTATGCCAATTTTGCTGACAGTCTTGATCATGAAGGGATGTTGTATCTTATCAAATGCTTTTACTGTATAAATAGATATGACCATATGGTTTATATCTTTCTTTCTGTTAATATGGTGTATTTCATGTATGGTTTTGCCTATGTTGAGCCCACCTTGCATTCCTGGAATAAAGCCTACCTGATCATGATACATAATCTTTTTTATAAGTCATTGGATACAATTTGCTAGTATCTTGTTGAGAATCTTTGCATTAGGGACACTGGTCTCTTGTTTTACTTCCTTATCCTGTCCTTATCTGTTTAAGGATAAGGGTAATAAAGGCTTCATAGAATGAATTAGGGAGAGATTCACACTTTTGGATCTTTAGAAATATCTTGAGCAGAATGGGGGTTAATTCTTCTTTGAAAGTTTTGTAGAATTCAGAGGTGAATCCATCAGGGCCAGGACTTCTGTTGGGAGGTTATTTATTACTGATTCAGTCTCCCGGCATGTTATGGGCCTATTCATACTTTCTATATCCTCCTGGCTCAATCTTATAAATGAAAGAGGAAAAGGAAAAAAATCCCTACCTGGCTGCCAGAGATAGGAGTCTCTGAGCTTGAGGGTGCCAGGGCTGGAACTGGGGTGGGGGCTCTGCCTAAGTGTCCCTTAGGCTAGGGGTCTGAAGATGGAAGTGAGGTTGCTGTCGAGCTGAGGGTGGTCCTGGTGACAAAGATAGGGGTCTCTGGGCTTGGTGGTGCCAGGGCTAGAGCTAGGTCAGAGGCCCTGCCTCAGTGTCCCTTAGGCCAGGGGTCTGAAAATGGAAGTCCCTGGCATGTTTTTCAAGCTGCAAGAGTTGGGGCCAGAACTGCAGTCAGCAAAGTCCGATCTGATATTCAGTGCACAGTGCTTAAAAACTGTGCTGCAGGACTGGTCCTCTCCCTGCTCTTACTATCTGAATTCAACCAGGTTTTCTTTTTTTCAACTCTGTTTTTTATCTTGTTCCCCCCCCCCCAAGTGTCTATTGGGCCTGTTTTTGAACAAAATTTTTTAGAGAATTCATATATGACAAAAGTATTCATTTAAATAGTACTCAATATAGTATTCTATAATCACTGATCTCTAAAACCATCACCACAGTTTTAAAACATTTTCATTAATCTAAAAGAAATCCCACAAAAGTAAGCCTTCAATTTTTAAATCCCCCCACTTTTAACCGTGTGGAAAGACAAAATGACTGAGTTGTGGCTGTAGTGTTAACTGATCCATTATCTCTTGAAATTATACACCACTGGTGTTGAAGATTATCTCCCTTTCCTGCTTTTATAAAATGTGGAGACTCATCACATAGCCTCAATATAAACTTGGTATATTTCTAGAGCTTAAAAAACTTCCAGTTCTTGTTGCTGTTGTTTTGTTTTATAATATAAAGACAGTTTTCTACTTACAATTGTTTGGCTTATAATTTTTTTGACTTTGCAATGATGTAAGAATAATACATATTCAATTGAAATTTTACTTTGAGTACCTATACAACCATTCTAATCATTTTTAGTATAGTATTCAATAAATTACATGAAATATCCACTTAATTGTAAAATAAATTTTGTGTTAGATGATTTTGCCCACCCATAGGCTAATGTAAGCATTCTGAACGCATTTCAGGTAAACTAGGGTAAGCTATGATATTTAGTAAATTAGGTGTATTAAATGTATTTTTGACTTAAAATATTTTCAACTCATAATAAGTTTATCAGGAAGTAATCTCATCCTAAGTTGAGGAACATCTGTACACTTTTCCTCCCGCTGTTCTAGTCTGTCTCTCTCTGGTGAGTGCACATACCCTATGGCAAACATCTTCTTAAAAACTACAGTTCTAGGAGGGACCAGCAGTTAGTGTAATGGCTATGTCACTGGACTCCCATAGTCGACCACGGTTCGAGTGCCGGACCCGGTGGCTTAAACTCACGCCGGGCGCATGTGCATGCATGCCCAAGATCCCAGGAGGAGAATGGAGAAGGGATTGCGGCATGGCCATCCCCCCTGGGGGGTGATTTCTCACTTTCTATGTCTCTGTCTCTGTCTGTCTATCTGGCGAGCACACGTGCCCTATAGCAAAAGCCTCTCAAAAAAAAAAAAAAAAAAACCCTACAGTTCTATTAGTGACCATGAGTAACTAATATCTTGTAGTTATTTTGATTCTTATCTTACTCAGAAATGAATATATTGGACAGCCTTAAGAAAAATGTATTGAATTCAACCCCCAGTTTTCTAGACCATGATAAAGATGGTGGAGTTATCTTGAGGATAAGTAAAGAAATCGTGAAAGGTTTCAGTTTGGGGAAAAGATGAATGTGGTGTGAAGAAAACTGGAGGACTTAAGCGGTCAAGACTAGAGAGACACGTTAGGGGGACTAATCTACAGGGGCAGGCTCTCCATGGGAAGAAACAGACTCAGAAGACCTGTACTTCATCAGAACAGTTACAGCTCTTGGTTCTGGTGAGTAAAGCACATGTTCAGATGGGCTGACTTAATTTGGATTGGTCCCCACTCCTTCCTAACTGCAGTAGCTCTTGAGGCTTCTGAACCACTACCCACCTCAGTAGTACTCTCCTGAGAGTTAAATAAGCCTACTTCAACAGATGGGGCTTGACATACTGCCTGAGAACCACTGGCACAGGACTTGTTAAAGAAGAGCCCTAGCTGTCAGAATAGCTACCAAGGGTAAACAGTCTTTTTTTATGATTTTCCAATAAAAGCAGGACTTTGCAGAAAATGAAATTACCAATTAGATCTTTTTTTCTTTCAAGGAAAAGCCTCCAGATTTTTCTACCTAAAACTTTAATAAAACTCAATGACTTGTACTTGATTTTTTAGACTTGATAGAATGTACAGTCACCATATTTCTGGCAGTCTCTTAGGCACAGCTAGGGAGGATTAAAGGCAAAGTGGGCAGTGGGGGGCACACCTCAACTTCAGGACCTGGAAACATGGACCTGGCCTCTGTAGCCCTTGCCTTGACAAGGTTAATGAGATCTCCTAAGAATTACCCAATCTGAGGATGGCGCCCTTATAAAACAGCCCTGCAGTCTAGTGGCAGGAACAGCAGGGAGTGGGGCCCGCAGGACTGGCAGGGTGGTCGTGGTAGACCCCAGCTCCCCCTCGGACTGCTCCCAGCCCCACTTCTCGCATACCGGCTTGCTCCCTCAGGAGGCGCTGCAGGCCCCACGGGTGCCCTTCCCGGATGCACAGTCTGATCGCGGTCCCTTCAAGTCCTGAAGGCCGCCACTGCCCGGACTCCATCCTGAGCCAGTGACCATCCTCCCACCCGCCGGTTCTGTCGCTGGACTGCTCAGGAATCCCGCAGCCGAAAACTTCCACCGCCCTGAGTCTACCGGGCACTGAGAGAGGCGCTGCCGCCCATGCCCACAGACTCACCTTCACGCTGACCACGCCCCGCGCTCGCTGATTGGCCGGCACAACGCACTACAGCAGGCGCAAGGGGATCTGGGAGCAAGCGGGGCGGGGCTGGGCACGGAGATACCAAGGAAATCTAACTGAAGGACACGCCCCTCGTTGCCAACCAATCATGGAGCACGAATCAAGGCCAGCACCATGGCAACGCTTTGTTGACGATGCCTTTTTTCACGCTGACGCTGCACTTGCTCCGTTAGGGCGGCAGAAAGGAAAGGTGGCGGATCCATAACTATGACGACAGCAGCGGTGGCAGTTGACCTAGGCGGCTCTCACGCGCAGGTCAGCTCCTCACCAGGCAAATGTATAGGATCGCGATGTCTCCGGCGGCAGCAGTGATGGTCTTTTGGATGTGGAGGGGACTACAAGGCAGTTGGGAGGACTTTCCTGAGACCTGTAGCCTGGCCCTTGCTAGAGCCTAGTCAGGGCTGGGAGCGGGTTTGGGCGGGGAATTGGTCCTGAGTGGTACCACCAAGCCAGGCTGGCTGATGTCTTCCCCCCCTCTTTAGGCCCAGCAGTGACCTCACTCCCTCAGCCTTGTGCTTTTTGCAACTGGAAAGCCACACCTTCTTAGCTTTAGTCAGTTTGGTGCCTTTTATTTTTACCTCAACAAAACCCTAGAAAGACATATATTCAGCTGCTAATGAAGTGCAGGTGTTGCTGTGCACCAGTTGGGGAGGGCACCAACAGCTCCTGCATCTCCTGTTTTCAGGCCCTGCTTCTGGGCCTCAGACCTGTTGGGAATCTCTTGGCAGTTTGAGCTGCAGTCCTGAATGGGTGCCTTGGCCTTCCTCCCACCCACTGCTCCTGGTCTCCGCTTTCCATGGAGGTCACTGGATCTGCACATCCATTCTCCTATCAAGGCCTCTACTGCCCCTCATCTTCCCTCAGCTCGCATTCTTGCAGTGATTAGTGGGTGGTGGGTATTCCTGCCAAGACACTGAATCTCATCTTGTCCCCTTAGCACAGTTGGGTTTGGTAGGATAGATGCCTCTCAAAATGGCCCACCCAGGGCGTACCTCTCCCTGGAACCAAAGTGGGCAGGGCACTCCTTAGTGAATAGCTTGCCTGGTGAGTGTCCCCTGGACTGTGTAACCTGCTTACTCTTGGTGTGTTTGGGGAAATGCTCACAGTCCCTCTCAGTTTGCTCCCTTCTGGCCAGTCCCTCCCACCAGTCAAGCTGTTTCACCTGTCAGAGTTCCTGATCAGCCTGCACGTGGTCTAGAGGAGGCCTGTGGGCACTGCTGGAAGTTGGCTGAGCCCTTGACAATCCAGTAGACACCCTGAAGGCTGTAGGACTTGGGTTATTTAGCTGGTAGTGTGGAAAGACCTCAGGCTGATTGTGAGAATAACACAAGTGTGTGATACCTGACCTTTTTCTGTTCAGAACTTACCAAAGGGCCAGGGTGTAGGGATGTGTAGGGATTCTTTGTCATCCTCATATAAGAAGGTTAAGACAGTCAGTCCAGTCCTGGGGGGATGGGCAGTGGTGGCCTGCAGGGAGCTGGGCACAGATCAGGCCGGACTGGAGGGACTTCGTTCTGTTTCCCTACTCTGGGCATTTCGTAGGGTCAGTCAGTGTCATGCTCCATACTGACATCCCAAACACTGAGTCTGAGTGGGGTGTTTCTCACAAGTTACATTCTCAGATCATTTAGATCCTTTTCCCTCTCAAACACAGGTTCTGGGTGATGGCAGCTTGGGATCACTGGATGACAAAACTGCCTGTGAGTGAAATTACTCCCTTTTGCAGTAATGAATTCAGCAATTTTCATACTGAGTAGAATGTAGGATTAAAAATTGCTTAGGATTTCAAGGAGCAATGTACAGTGACATGGAACATGAAAGTTATAGTACATAACTTGGGGTTCAGAGCACTTAAGAGCACTTTAGTACTGTCTGAGAGGCAGTGTCTAAAGTGCATGAGAAAGAGTTGGGGCATGACCCTTCAGAGGGCTTGTTATGCTTTGATCCCCTTATTCTAGTCCTTCAGGCTGGCAAGATCCTAGGCACTTACTTGCCTGGTATGTTTTCAGGCCTACTGAACCAGGGTCCCACATGGCATTGGCATGTGGCTTCCAATTCCCTACTGGGCCACAGAGGCCAGGTTTTAGATTTAAATTAGTGTGGTAGCCTCCCACCACCATGAACCTATTTACTCATTTTTTCTTTATAATCAAGGTATAATTTAATACAGTGAAATAAACAGATAGTAGTTGTACATTCTGGTCAGTGAATTTTGACAGATATATGTGTGTGCATAAACCAGGCACCTGTGGAGATATAGTACATTTTCATCATGCAGAGGATTTTCCTGCTATTTGGTAGCAATTTGCCACCCCACATGCAGCAATGTAATAATACCATGGATAAAACCAATTAAGTTTCTCTTGTCCTCTCAGCAATCCCCACAGATCAAGTATATGAGACTTTTCCTACAAGCAAGCAGTCAGTTCTGCATCAATCTCAGGTGAGTGTGCACACCCTATGGCAAAATCCTAAAACAAACTAAAACAAAAATTAAAGACTGTGCATACAGGGTTCAGATGGCAGGCATATGCCCAGGTGGTTGTTACTTATGTTTCTGACCCATCAGCTATAAACATGGGTACTCAAGTACTTCTCCTGGGGTTGGCTGTGATTAACTTGATGGAGTGGCTTACAGAACTCAGGGAAACATTTTCTTCACTTGTTGATTATGAAGAATATTAGAAAGAATATAGACAAGCACCAGATGAAGAGATGCATATGGTCCCAGCCTGAAAAGACAAACTGTGGCAGAGTGAGTAAAACAAAAGAACTGACTCGGCTAAAGTTTAGGACAATCACCCAGGCTCCACAAAACCCAAGTTGTCCCTAATAACATGTGCTGAGGTCTTACCAAGTCAGCCTGGTAATCTCCTCACCTCAAGATCCTTACTAAGTCAACCAAAGTAATCTCCTCACCTCAAGATCTTTACTTGAATCACCATTATAGAGTCCTTTCTGCAACATATGGTAACATGATCACAGATTCTGGAGTTTAGAAGGTGGTCAACTTTGGGCAAACCATTATTCTTTTGACCATAAGAACTAATGTGCTCAATGGACAGATGAGATTTTTAAAAATATCTTTTCTAAAAAAAAATTATAAGCACATAGGGGTACCCAGTGGACATTAAGATAAAATACAGGGCTAGCTGGTGGCATGGTGAATAAGGTGGATGGGCTTCACATGGGCAACTGCATGGTCCAAGTCTTAGACATAGTGGCTGGTAGAATGCACCAAGCACACATGCATGAGTGCCCAGAATTCCAAGAGGAGAATGGATGATAAAGGATTGTGGTATGGTGATTCTCCTCAGTGGGTGCTTTCTCACTTTCTTTCTTTCTCTGTTTCCAAAGCAAGTACATGCCCACTATAGGGAAAAAAAAAAAAAAAAAAGCTTTACAACCAGGGTACTTTTCACAAAATAAAATTTACCAAAGGTTAATATGTGCATATATTATATGACCTAAAAATGAGAAATACAAAATGCTGAAATTAAAAGGATCTTGTTACTTTAAAATTTTTATTTTGAATACAATGGATATAAGAAATAAAGATCTCTAAAAGAAAAATCCTGACAACATGAAAAGCACCACACTTAATAGAAGGCCCTTTCTCTTGCTTACAATGAACAATAGTAACATTTTGGTCAATGTAAAACTTTATAATACAGATGAGTATGTTTTTCAAATTTGAAAACAAGTATATCTGAAAGGTATGAATCACTATAACAAAGTGTCAATTACTATGCTCAGTAGTTACATAAAAACTGAGATTATTATCATGTTTATTTTACCTATGCAATGGAGACTGAAGCATCTTGAAATTTTTTCTTTTTAACAGGAAGAAACATTTTTTAGCAAATATACCTGATTTACAAAAAAGCATCCTTTAACTTGGCTTTTATATATTCTGATTTACATTCTATAAAAATTTCATCTAAAATGGATTTAGACATCAATAATTGGCATTAAAAACTATGATTATTCATCTTCTATCTTCTAAAACTGGTTCTCATATTTTGTTTAGAACAATCTTGTCCGAATTTAAGAAGTCTTGAACTGTATCTTGTATAAACTTTTTTTTTACAACACCATTGGAAATGAGGTCCCACTGAAGAGGTCTTATTAAGCAGAGATTAATTTTAAACTATTTCAGATTGTTATTAGGTCATAAGAAATTGTGAAACATGATAATTCCCTATATCAAGAACAAGATAAATGAAAAAGTATGTGATTAGAATATTGTTGATTGAGAAGGGGGAAGAATATAGGATTTAAAATTCTGTAGAAATTATGAAAAATGAGAGAAAACTATTGCATTGAACCAGAAACCTAAAGGAGATGAGTGGTGGTTTGGTAAGATGCACATAAACAAACTAGACTCTAAAAGTAGAACAGTTTTCATAGAAAAGATTAAGGTTTTCCATTGCCAAAGACCCCAGGATCATACAGGTTTATGGCTGAGAGTTAAATGACCTTAAACAAATTCTGATTTTATTTCAAATGGTCAAGGTCTAAAAAAAAAAAAAAATGAAGTGACTTCCTTCTCTTCATTTTATGATACAGTAAAGTTAATTTATTGAATGCAGTTTGTCTAATATAGAATGTCAATGTTTGTAAGGCAGGCATTATTTCCTGTGCCACTACCAATATACTTCCCACTAAACAATGACTCTCAAGTATAAAGAAAATGTTGGTGGTTTACTTCATTAGAATCACAAAATTCATTTTTAATAAAATCTGGTTTGAACACAAATATTTAAAATTAAATAATGTTGCAAGTTTGATCTACCTAGCGTTCAGGGTTTTTTTGTTTGTTTTGTTTATTTATTTACTTATTTCATTTTCTTTTATACATTCAATTACATTATTATTTGGGTTACAAAATGGATATTTCAACAGGTGAACATTTCTCCCTAGTACAGTTGATAAAACTACAAAATATCTTCAACAGATAATACCACATTTCTTTTTGCCATTAACGCTTTACCTCCCTATTTTTCTTCTAAATATCCTTCCTCAGACCCTCCTCT